ACCCATGCAGTTAAAATGACACTACTATGAGCGACAGCTAACCTCAGTCCAGCCCTGCTGCTAAAAAAAAAAAGATTACAAATGAGGAACAAAAACATAAATAACAAAATAAACACACGACACTATACAAATACTGCAGAAGGGAGCACAGAAACGTGGCACTAGTGTTCGTGGTGCTGATGGGGATAGCGTCCACTGCGCGGAGGGGCGGAAAGGCGTGACAGTGTCCGCTGGGTGCGATGCCCGAGTGCGAGGTCAGAGGTACCGGAAGGGGGGGGGGGGGGGGGGGGCTGACTGATGGCTTGTTCCTGCTCTTGATAAGCCGCGAGTCCGACGAAAGCCGCTTCGGTTGTTCGGAGGCCCCGCATTTCTGGCTCGATGAGGGAGCTGGACGTTGCGGGAAGCCGGGCCTCTCCGGTGGTCAGGGAGGCCGAACCAAAATTGGCTGCGAGGCGCCCTGGCGTTGGCCGGCAGCATATAGCTGCTTTCAGCTGGCCTCGCGCAGGAGCCATGGTGGAAAAGGCAGCACGGCTTCTTCGGCGACGGCCAAGAGCAGAGCACAGCCAGACGGTCTGACGTCAGTGGGTCAATGACCCCCCAGCACCTCCAGCGTCCGCATTGATGGGGGAAGCCATCACGCACTCTTCGCGGGCTCACACTGAAGCGTCACGCACTTACACACGCACGGAAGCACGCACGCACACCGCCGACAGCTGCGCGAGCGTAGGCGCAAAGCGTCCTTCGTCTCTCTCCCTCCCGGCAAGCACCGACACACAAGGTCACACACACAGCTCCCTTCGCGGTAGACGAAACGAATACGGAAAAAAAAAGTAAAAACAGAGCAAAACGACACTCAACCTCTGGCAAAAAAACATAAAACACAAATAACACTTAATATTAGACAAAAGAAACATAAAATACACATGAACACTTCAAAAAAAAAAAAGAAAGAAACACTGGCAGCAGACAGGGCGGGGTCAACTCCTTTACGAGAAAAGGCCGTAAAGAAGCTAACCTATACTGAGGCTAGACAGTAAACTGAGAGCCTTCGGTTGCGGAGAAGTCCGCCGTCCGGCGCGAAATCACAAAGGTGACCGCTACCTCATATTATACCGGCGCGGGGTCCGAATGCGGTCCGTCGCTCCGGGTGTGCCCGTTGCTTGCGCGAAGTGCCGCAGGGCACTGGCGCGAGCTCGTCAGACCGTGACAAAGGGCTTCAGGTCTGCGATGTGGGCACGGCTGAGTTTTCCCAAAGGGGATCTTTCAGCTAGTACGCGCCACGGACGCTCACTGACAATCGGTTCATAAGACCGGGCGGCTTTCCAACCCTTGGCTCAACCGTTTGTCAGACGTGGCAGGCACGGAATAGCGATAAAAGCCACGCTTCGTGCCGGGCCAGGTCACAACATTGCTCAGTTTGCAAAAACTTTCGAGCCACCCAGGTGACCGGCCATGGGTTCGTCGTGAGAGGATCGCAACAGTGCGGCTCTCAGACTTTTGGGCATAACCACCTTAAACGGGTCTATGGACTCGTCGTCAGTGGCTATATATTTCAGCAGGAGCCCGTCATGGTCCAGCAAAATGAATCCGCCGGGGACTCAGCGACACACGCTGTTTCAGCCCCCTAATCGCGCCCACCGCAGAACAAGCAGCGTAACGGCGCTCCGCGCCTCGTCAAGACGGTTTAACGGCGCCCGCCGCAAAGCAAGCAGCGTATACGGCGCTCCGTCCCTCCGAGACTCGAAACGGATCACTCTGCTGAGCCTTCAGTAGCTCTTCGCTGCCGAAAGCAATTCCCATTCTCCCAAATGGGGGAGTCTGGTATCGCGCCCACTCAGGACCGCAGCAACCGCCGCGTGAGTCGGCGTTACGGGTTCACTCTCGGCCTCGTGGCCTTCGGAAAGCTCCCCCGCTCGGCCGCTTCGCGGTGCGCCGCTTACCTGGTTAGCAGCCAAGGTTTGTCCGCATGGGGACTCACCCTCCTCGCCGAATGGCGGCGAAGCTGCTGTTTCGCCCCCGACGCTTGCATGTGCTAAGGCACCGCGAGCGGCCGTCGCACCGAAATCCAGGTTCTCGGCGGACAACAGGGGGCACGAGATAGCGCGTCAGCTACCACGTAGGAGTGTATTCACCACAAAAAGGGGTGACGACACAGGCGAGCGCCGAAGGGCGCCCGTCGATAGAGGCGGTGGCCTCTTGGTGCAACGCGGCATGCCACGAAGCAGAGAACGTTCGGGTAGGGCAAGAGGCCCATTCCGAAGCGACGCGCCATCTCCAAAGGGAGCGGCTAGGCGCCTCGTGTCGTCACCGCAATAGGGGGTGCCGACACGGACGGGTGTCGGAGGCGCTTGTGCGTAACGTTCGGGTAGGGCAAGAGGCCCATTCCGAAGCGACGCGCCATCTCCAAAGGGAGCGGCTAGGCGCCTCGTGTCGTCACCGCAATAGGGGGTGCCGACACGGACGGGTGCAGAAGGGTTCCCGTCAATAGAGGCAATGGCCTCCGTGTGCAACGCGGCATCCGCTAAAAAGGGACAGCGGACAAAAGTCCCGCGAAGCAGCCATGTTGCGACGAGCCCGAATCGCGCAGGCGAACTGACTCGCTAAGAGCAGTCAAAAGCTAGAGCTTTTGATACCGCGTTGGGCGCCAGTGTAGTGTACACGTATCCCGAAGGAGTACGGCCACCAGCGTGGGTCCGGTCTTAGCGAGCCGCAGGGCACGCGTCAACCGTCGCCGTGGCGGGAAACACGATACTGCTCAAGTCGCAACACTTTATTGTGGCAACACCAACGCAGTACAGCCCGTTGCAAAAAGGCGCGGCGGGAAAGCAAGTAGGCTTATCCACGCCACGGGCACAAAGTACTACACAGGGGTGCCACGAGCACGTCTCCGCGGTAAAGGTAATCCACGGAGACACCGGGACAAAGGGGCCCGGTTGCTCGAGCGAGGGCAAAGGCGCTCGCGTTGGCTTCGAAGGGAGACGGGTCGGCGTAGCTAGGCCACGCACTAGGACACCGTACTGCCCTTCGGCCGTGAGTACGCAGCGGGGCAACAAAAAGTGAGCGTTCGCATCGGGCGCGAGGCGCCGTCAGCGAAGTCCGACGAGCCCCGAGCGACGGGACTCGACGGACGGAAAAGAATGCGTGGCTCACCGTTTGAAGTCCCGGACTGTACCCCCCGCTCCCGACGCAGCGCGCGAAAACCTCTCGGGGGTCCCCGCGCGCGGCGCCACAGTCGACATCCGCTACCGGGTGAGGGAGTTAAACGTCACTCCGCCCTTCCCAGCGCGGCTGACGGCAAAGGAGGGTAGGCATGTCGGGACATGAGAAAAGAGGCGGCAAAGCCCGCGCAAAGGCAGCGGGCCAGCCTCAATTCCCACAAGACGCAGAGACTATTTAGAAGGTTCAGTTCATCCATATGAGTGTTGTCTTTTCAGCATGGGTTGACACAACTATCATAAACAAGTTGCGCACTAAAACGTAACGACTGCTCCAGAAGGGGATATAGATTTTAGCCACAGTAACGACTTGAGGTATTTTTGCATCACGAGAACATTTGTGGGAAAATTGTTAGAGAACCGACCATGTTCTCAGTATAAAAAATTTTTTCTATGTTCCAATTTAGGTGATCTCGGCTCTTCCAGTTTCATGTGCTGAATCTCCCTACAGTTGATATTTCACCAAACCTCAAGGGACCCCGAAAACCTCTGGAAAATCAGGCAGTCCGGAAAATGAATGCAAGTGAAAAACAAACCTTTTAATGGGTATTTTTCGCTGATGAATAGGGTCACGGCAAAAGTACAGGATTCTCACTGAAATTCAGCAAATGTAACGTTTAAGTGCTCTGAAAAGATCTGTTCATATAAAAAAAAAAACAAAAAAAATGACGTGGCCGGCGCCACCGCAATCGTAAACACCTGGGTAGGGAAAAAAAAAAGAAGAAAAGTCACTTATTTTCGTTTGCATGGTGCTTCACTTGCCCACAATGATGTCTGCCTTAATTTCAGTTAACGTCATGCTGTCGCCGTACACCGATGACTGTGTCAGTGCTCGCATCAACTCCAAGCTCGTTGGCTGTGTAGGCACTGCCTCCTCAATCTCAGTGTCAGAGTCACTGAAACTTTTTGTAACTTGAATAATTCTGTCATCGATCAATTCTGCACACAGCTCGAGGTCTTTGTCAGCGTCGGCAAAGCCCTCAACAGTTATCCCAGCTGGAATCGATCGTCTGCGGGCGGAAGTTCGTCGCACACACTGTCCACTCTGGGCGAGACGGCTGTCTCGGCACACAGTATAAAGTTCGCCTGGTGAAAACAGTTTCGAAGGGTCTGTTGCATAACTGCCTTCTCAGAGTCTGCAAGCATGCTGAGGGCAGACTATAGGTAAACAGAGAAGCTTTCCCTGCTGTCAGAGCACAGGTTGCACAGCACCATGCTACTGCGGCCACAGGTTTGACTAATCTATGGCTGGCAACGAATTAGCATGCGCTGGATGGCGGCATTTGTAGTTTCGAAGGTGCGGCGCGATGGGTTCAATGGTACGAAAAAACAACCAAAATGGTGGTTTTGATAGTGACTGCGAGTCTATAGTTAGCAGAAAGAAGTCTGAAAATACAATGGGGAAAGCTTCAAACATCTGAAATTTCAGACTATTTAATACATTGACTACGTGGGGGACTTGACGGTGCTTCAGATGGGTCCAAGAAATCAGGTATGTCCGGAATTTCGGGTGTCCGAGAAATCAGGCGTTGGCTGTAGTAATACAACTTGAGCAAATAAACTGCACAACAGAAAAGGAGCACGAAAAGAGGAAAGGCAGACGACATCACTGAATAACCAATGATGTTGACGACAAACTCGACGGGAAGTGTCGTTCCTCTACTTGTTTCCTGTCGTGCAGTTCAATCGTTCAAGACGGACACACACCAACTTGCCCATTCTGTTGTAACAGGAATACACTCCAATATGCAAAGACAAGCTTGTCAATGCATATGACCAACGTACACTGCACTTTGTATCCTGCAGGCAGCATGGGCCATGGACGGGGGCCCCCTTCGAAGGCCACCTCCTTGATTGTTCCATAGGCAACTGCTGCCGCCTTGGTTGGATGTACTGCCTGAAAAAAAAAAATTAAAAATAAATCGTTGCACAAGCTGGAGAAAAGTTGAAATAAACAGTGTTGTGTTTATGTGGGCACAGCCAAAACATTACTAGCACGTTCAAATATTCCATTCTGTGTGTGCTGAATTAGCACACACACCTCATAACGAAGTTACCTCTTAGACAAAAATAAGTTCATTGTATCTGAAAATTCGTCACAAAGCTACATCCCTAACACTGTTTCTATTGCAAGACCATTCTACAAATACTTTGTTATAACTGATACTTCATCATATATCTGTATTTCTTATATCTAGGTAGGTTGGATCTACAGTGCAGTCCACTTATAACGATATCGAGAAAACCTAAAAATATGATCGTTATAACCGGTGATCGTTATATCTGGACTGCCGCCAAAAAATCGTCGCCGGACGTACCTTTTGTAGCTCCAGGCTTCATTTTGCTATTTTCACCAATTAATAAATATTGTAGATAGTAGGATGTCAAAAACAAGACTTTATTTCTTACTCCGAAGAACGCATCACGGGTTCGCTGAGGAAGAGAGACTGACCGACGGCGGGGTCGGAGCAGTGGGAGGAAGAAAGCACAGCCAGAGGTACACAGCTGGAATGCCAACGAGGTCCCGACCCCATGCCGCGGCGCCGCTTTGCTTTTCGCTTTTTTTATTTTCTCTCTCTTTCCCGCTTTCGTTCGGCAAGCTACGAGTAGCTTGCCGGCTTGCCGTTGTAGAAGGCGGGGAGCCGCAGAGCGCGGCGCTTTGCTTGTCGCATTTTTTTTTTAAATTCTCTCAGCCTCTCCGCGGTCGACGCGCGGCGAGGCGCAAAACGTGACACAGCTGGCGCCATCTGTAGCGCGTCGCGCCAACTCGCGATGCTCTCCTCGGCTTTTTGAACGGCCGGGACGCGCTGCCGGCGCTGTCCTGCAGTGGCGGCAGATACGTACTCGCCTACGCTAACTTTTCGTCTTGTCTCGGCATAGTTCGTTTCAGAGGAACTTATCAATCTAAATGTTACGATTATTCTGAATGAAACATGCCGTCCACGGCAAACTTTTCATCGTTGTATCCGATATGCGGTGAATAACATATCGTTATATATGGTTTTTTTCCCCATAGCCCCAATGCATAAAATGAGACTGTTAAGTCGACCCATCGTTATAACCGATATATCGTTATATGTGGTATCGTTATAAGTGGACTGCACTGTATATTATCAGAATACGCTCAAACATTGATATAAAGAACCAGTTATAAATTTACTTTTTTGTGTGTTAGCAGTGTTGTATGTGCATCCGTTTTTCTTGTGCTCCGCCTTTGGCGCTTTTTCGCTTCGAGACATCATACACACCCAAGCATTTACTTTGGTCGATTGAGCATTTGTAGCAGCACGATATATAACAGTGAAAGACTTGCCTTGTCAGGCCATCTTGCTACACATTCTGCTTGCTTGGAATGCAAGCCCGTGTACAAAGGTGCTCATTCACTGGCCAGAAACCTTCACCAGCTCACCAAAGAAACAATAGAAGCTGTAGAGATCCCAAAGAGAGGCCGTGTTAGTTGCCCGTCAGACTCCTCAATTAGAGAGATGCTGTCGAAAGAGAAGAGTTGTTAAAGCAGTTCCTTCAGTTCAAGTACAGAAACTGGAGCAGCTTTAAAAGGACTGACAACTGATTTTTTTCAACACAGTTCTTTCCGGCACAACAGAAAGTTTACTCGTCGTAGTGTTCGTAGCTGCAGTAGTTAATCCCCAAGACACTTAGTTGTTCTATAAGGAGTATCTTTCGATCTGGCGGGCTCTGAACACTGATGAGCCCTTTCATCCAGCAACGTTGCGAATTGACCGCGATGCGGTAGTCCTAGCGACCTGTGCATGCTATCACTGTGCTTTCACAGGAGTTCTTGTAAATATTCTTAAACACGTTTAATCTGAGCTTTAAAACTATTTTTGAAAATAACAAGCCGTTACAGTGAGACGATCTTACTTTATAGAGCTTCTTTGTATTTGTACCGCATTGTGTGCACCTACGCCCAGGGTTGTTGCACCTATGTCGTGGATCGCTTGTCACCTGGTCGTTACTTTCTCGACACACACGAGCCCAGCCAATTCAGCAAAAATGTCACTGCGCATATGCGTGCAACTGTGCCGAGTAGTAGTACATATCATCTCTGAGACTAATTGTAGGTAGAAAAACCACGTCGCTCCAAAATCTTAGCGACTCAGAAACTGTGTGCACGGTTTCATGAGCGCGCAGAAAAGTTGCTCAAGACACGCTGACGCGCATGGAATCAATATGTCATGCAAAGGCAGCGCCACTTCAATGCACATTACTAACACAGGCCTATACGTACATTTTTATGGACTAATATCTTTTACTATGGTCTCATGACAGTGTACATCAAATAAGTGAAATTTCCTCCACCAGGTGGCACCACAAGCTATTTCCACGATTTTCAATTAAGGAATAAAAATATAACTCCACTTCTCATAAAAAAAAACAAGGTTGGTTTGAGTCACTATGAAGGACAATCTTTCCATCTGTGCAATGATCTCATGACGAGCATGGGATCATTATGTCATGTGAAGGCAGCGCCACTTCAATGCATATTACCAATGCAGGCCTATACGTACATTTTTATAGAGTAATATCTTTTACAATGGTCCCATGACAGGGTACATCAGATAATTAAACTTTCTGCCACCAGGTGGCATCACATGCTTCTTTCATGATTTTCCAATGAAGGAACAAAAATATAACTCCACTTTTCACAACAAAAACAGGGTTGGTTTGAGTTACTATGAAAGACATTCTTTCGATCCGTGCAGTGATCTCATTTCGTGTTCTGGGCAGTTGACGGTCCCTTTAACGCAGTACTATCATAAAATTTCACGGCTGAGATAGCTTGCGAGATTGATTTTCACCAACATGCATATATAATTTGAAAAATATCAACAGTCAACATAACTCCGAAGCCATTTGAGGTGAATTTTGAAGTTTGTGTGCACGATTGACTCTCTCGTTACTGACACCATCAAAAGTGACCCCACGATGACCCCCTTACTTCCTTCACGTCACTACAATACAGCCGATACAATAAATTATGGTGGCGTCAGAGCCGTCATTATGCTTTTTCCCTGTTTACGCCAGCAGACTACTTCTTGGAAGCTGCTTACAAGCCCATAACTGCGGCACATGTGATGAAAGTTTTGTGTCAGGCGACACTACTGTACCGTTCCCTGTTTGAAAGGATTTCTTGATGGGGACAATGCGGAAGTGCATCACAGTTCTGTGTGCTGACGTGGCTGGGCTTTGCACGCGCTAAGTGGTGATAACCGCACCCAGCCACTCATCGTTTTTGGAGCTCTCTCTCAAACTGAAACCAAAACTACTGGAGCCTGTAATTAATTATCTGCCACGGGCTGCAGCAAACGATGTGCAGTGTTATGACTAAAAGGCCCCCAGCAGCACAGTGCAGCAAAATGGTGCGCGGCCAAAGTTTTTGTGTCAGTACACCTTATGGTAATCGAGCGCGCCTTCCCCTTAGGCGCTTCGTTCCCCAAGCTTGCACGAGCACTAACGCGTGCGAATCGAGCGCCGGTAACATGGCCCTTGGTTTTGTTGCCAGGCCCTGGCGCAAGCCATGCTAGCTAGCTTATGTCACGTTGCACGGGCAAGTTCGAACATGCGGTCGAACACTGCTTCGAACGCGTAACGGCATTTACACGTGACGAGTCCATGAATCCTCAATACCAGCCCACACCCTGATGTTCAAGACCACAGTCTTTCAAAAGACGTTCTCAGCTCAATTACACAGCGAAAAGAAAAACAAACGTCATCAGAAGAACCTCAAGCCATGTCTGCAGTGCTCTCATCTTCAAGTGATAACACACATGTGAGTCGAAGCCCTACAGTAGCTTCGAGTCCACCAAAGCCAGCGCATTATGAACCGACGGAAACATTTACAATGAATGATGACACACAACCACCTGGGAACGTTTCTCATCAGTCTGCCACCCTGCTTTTATCTAAAGAAAAACGCTGCAGTACAGTACCGACTATCGATTATCTACTGATCACATCACCATGCAAAGAAAAGTAGACTCATGTTCCTGAAAGATGCCCATCTGACCAACTTTCGCAACAAAACGAGCAATTTCAACAAAGGGAATTTCACGAGCCCCAGGCACTACAACTGCTACTCGAACAAGAACAACAATCAAGTGAAACCTCCTCACGAGTACACTTGTGGCTTAAAGGTCATCAGAGACAACAGCAATTAAAGAAGCAAAGACAAAGTCAATGCCTAAGCCATCTTCGCAGAAAGCAATGTCGACAAAATTTTCTGCACCAGTTCTCAAGGTCGTGTCTGCGATCCAACAAACTGAGAGAACGCCACAGAAAGTTACGAAAGAGACATGAAGCTACCACGTATACAACGAATAAAAAAAGACATCGTCCCATTAGCCTTGGTTCTCACGCACGCCGACTAGAAGCAAAGCGTCTGTTGCCACGACAGTGCTGGATTCGATGCCAAAGACATCTGTCAATTCAATGCTACACAGATTTCAAGCCTTGTTCGTTCCTCACAAGACCTGAAGTCGTGTCATCATCAGTGCAGACGTGCAGGGCGGGGTTATGCTATTCCGGGCGCAACAGCCAGCCTCGTCCGCCAGAGCTAACCTATAAATATGACCAAACTGCTGTCCTCCGCTGTGAAGCTTTTGTACGAGTTAAGAAACTCCCTTCTGAAATCGAACTACTGCGTATTTTGACATTCTTCACTTTGTGCTTTTTTTTTGTTTTGTTGATTATAACGCGCACATTCTTTCGGGTGTAGGGGGAATCATGTGACGTAAGAAGGTAGCGATGGTTGGTAGAAGCCGAGGAAGAAGAAGTGCTTTGGAATAAGCATGGCGTATGAGCCAGGTCAAGTCTCCCGCATCTAGCGTCACATATGTATGTATGTATGTATGTATGTATGTATGTATGTATGTATGT